GAAGCAACTGCGTTGATGGAAAATTTCCTCTCTTGATTTCGAGATACAGAACAGTATCTTTGCGATGAGTTCCGTCCGACTGTTTCAAAATAAGAATAGTCTACACAGAACGCTAAAAAATATTTATCATAATAGCGAAATTTTATTTAAAAAATCTCTTTCGACTCCAACGTCTCAATTTTAATATATGATGTTTTTGACTGATTTCAAATTAACGTTCTGACGTTTCTCTATATTTAAGTGTATAATATATTTATTTTGTTTTTAAATATAGTTTTGTTTTTAAGACTTGTTTATCATCACTCTATTATTATCTCAGATTATGATGTCAAAAGCGAAAAAATATAATAAAGATTGTAAGTGTTGTTTTATTGAAATATATTTCTATATTGATATTTTGCTAGAATTTTTATTTTTTTGTTTTTATTTTTTTGTTTTTCGCTGACGTCACAATCTAAAATAATAATGCTGTAAACAGAAATTCTATCGTTAACATAACTATTTGTGTATTGTGAAAAGATTCGGAATTGATGTTAAATAAGCAGAAAGAATGATTTTGCTAAAGTATCTAAAAATTATCTTAAATATCTTTTGTTAAATTATTTAAATAATTATGTAGGACGTTTAAGCATAAAAACAATGCTGCAAAAAAATTTGAATATTCTAGCAACCACCTTGTGTGCATCCTACATAATTATTTTGATGGTCTAACAAAATTATTTTCAGATTTGTATTTAGTTAAATTTTAAGATACACGAAAAAAAAAATTGTGCTGAATTATCTAAAAATTTAGGTAAATACAAATCTAAAAATAATTTTATCAAACTATCAAAATTATATATATATTAATTGTATGGAAACTACACTAAAACATAATCAGCAATGTTGTAAATGTTTGGCATTGTAGCAACCACCTTGAGCCGTACAAAATTATTTTGATGATCTAACAAAATTTATTTTCTGATCTGTATACTGTTAAAAATAAAATGTTAATTTTAACTTATAGAGACGTATAGCAAACTTTCTGAGACGTGCAAAGTTAACATTTTTGTATATAAAAATGTTAATTTTAACATTTTTGCATGTCTCACAAAATTTTCACTATACGTCTCTAAATTCAAATTAACATTTTATTAACAGTGTATTTAGCTAAATTTTTTAATGCTTCAATAAAACTATTCTTTCTCTCTCTCTGTATACTTTAACAAAACTGTTCTTTGGTGTAGATAATGAGAATTTCAATACGAAGCAAGTTCGCGCAAATTGCAAATTGATTTGATATCGTGAACAAAGGCTAACGCAATTAGCAGTGCAAATTGTCTTGCATGAGGAAGTATTATTCTGCGCTGATAATTTTATCGTCTGTTTGGCGGAGCGGCAACCGCATCAGCAGTACCAAACGGTATGCTCGAATCGTTTGTTATTTGCGTTTATCCTGGAATGATTAATTATATTCTGTAATTAGTGTCGCATTCTCTGGATTGTTCTCCCGTTGCCCGAAAAGCTAGACTCAGTCAACGAGAATTATGTGTGCCGCAATCGTTTCAAAAGCACACTACCCTCTTCGATATAGCGATTCCCTTCGTTATTCGGCGCGCACGAATTTTCATGGATACGTTTAATCGCAACCGTATATTCTTTGTGAAAAGAAAACTTCTCTAAAATTAGATTCACCACGCGGAAGCATGATTTCAGATCGCACATCTATTTTTAACGTTAACAGATGAGTCGATCAATCGCACGTGTCACAACGAGAATATCCTCCGAGTGATTTTCGGCGTTAATTTCGCACTTTCGGTTTGCGGCTCTTCATATACAATTGCAATGTCGCTTTCGTAATGTAATGCATGTAGTTTCGATAATTTCTGTTCGTTTTCATCTTCCCGTGGAAATGTAAATGTCTATTCCAGCGGCAATTGTGCGCAGATTGACAGTCAATTTTAATTATACTTCGTGATTCTCGCAAAAGGAACGTTCGAAAGCTTGATGTGTTAATATGTTTAGCAGGATACATAAAAGTAGATTTAATCAAATATAATTTTTGTTTTTTATTAAATGGAAATCGACCGCGAGAAATACTTAACATAATAAAGCGAAGAGGGTCATATTCGATCAAGATGGGTTTTGGTGTCTAATAATATTTTTATGTAAATTTTACAATTTCCAGTATTAAAATTTCCTAGCTCAAAATTGTAATGCATATAATGAAATTGGTAAAAAGTGATTGCTCGTGTTTTAACCTTTCTACCAATTTTATTATCTGCATTGCAATTGTAATGTCTCGTATTTTAATTTTTCTATCAATTTTATTATTTTCAGTTCAAGTAAATTGCACGTCGATTATTTGTCGATTTTAAAACACAGTTCTAAATTGAAGCTGGATTATGTAATATCACAAATTAAATTAATAGTCAGTTAAATTAATTTTTACTGATGCTAACGAGTATCTTTAAAACACATATACTATTAAGAATTTATTGCTGTAAATAATTTTTATCTGAAAATAATTTAGATAAAGTCTAATTTCTCGAAGAGGAAGTTGCTTCTGACGACCTGAGATTTAAGAATAGAAATTAAGAATAGGTGTTAATTAGATGAATATTATTTTACAAACGTGAAAATTTGCTCTACATTTCTAAATCAGTTCATGTTCGTTTTATATTCGCATAACAGTGCAGGGCGGAGAATAATTCGATTCTTCCAACACAAAAAAGGAAACCCTGTTAAAGGCGAAATTGCTTGTTTTCGCTTGTTTCGATTGTTGTCCGATGTTTCAACGCATATTGAAACCGAAAATTCGCACGGATGATCATCGGGCAATTGACGTGCGAAATTAGCTCTTTAATCGCGCAGGTGATATCCCTACGGCATCAAAGAGGAACGTTTAATCCCCGTCGCATAAATTATTTTCCGAAATAGAACCGATCAATTTAACTTTCATGTTATGCATGTCTGGCAATGGTCTCTAAATACGAGAGAAATTTGCACAATATACCAGTGTCCAAATGATGTTTCTGTTGATTTAATTATACATCTCTCTTGCAAAATATAAAATATGACAAAAAGCATAGGAATATAGAAATACAATACATTTTACTGAGAATTCAAATTATATTAGATCTATATACAGATTTTAAGTTTGTATTATGTAAATATTTATATATCTCGATTCTTTCTTTCTCTCTCTAAATATCTAATTTATCTATTTAAAAATATAATTGTACTCTATCGGTTACGTGATTCGTCTTAGCGAGTTATTTTTTTTTTTTTTGTTAATTTTATAACATGCTTGTTTTTATTAGCATTAATTGTATTATTAAGTAATCAGCCGTTTTCTTTCTTTGAATTCCGGAAAGTTTTCCCAGGTCGAAAGCTTCTTTGGCAGCTCGACGACCGAAGGTAAAATCGGGCACAGTGTCTTCTTTGTTCAAAGCGATACGAGTTTGGCAAGCTTTCGCACCATCTGACGGTTCTTCCGGAAGAGTTTTCGCACGGATAGCTTTTAAGCTTCGTGCGAAAGCTTTCAAATGGTACCGCCATCTACCTATAACATAGAGAACAGATATTGCTGTATTATAAATAATTTAGCAGTTAGAACAAAACATCCTTATCTTTTCTATTGATTGTAATTGTTAATTGAACTTTATCGAATTATTATAATTTTATTTTTTATCATATATGAGTGTGATTAGAACAATCATCAACATTTTTTTTTATTAATTGCAGATTTTATTAATTAGATAATTCTTTATCTAATTCTTCAGAAATTTATTACTTAAAGATTTTTCTATATTATTCCAAGATTTTTTAGTGTCTCGTACGGAAACAGCAAATATCTTGATATATAAAATTGCATCTATTTCAGACGTGCAATTCATATTTAGACTTTTGATCACAATTATTAGTTTATAAGTTGTAACATTATAATAATGTTTAATTATATTAATAATAATGTTAATTATACGTAACATTAATTATTATTTTTACAAATTGGGATTAAATAACAATTAACGTATCTCATATTTTCTAATTTTATTTTGTATCGATCTATTGATCGTATGATATTATGAATTTCTCAAGACGTCTATTTATTTAATTGTTATGTGATTAAAATATAAAATATTAGCTGCCAACATCCTGCGTTGTGGTTGTATGCCGTTGAGAAATTCGTTGTGTTTAAAAATTTTACCACGTACCGACTTTTATTGTGTATTATATTATATTTTAGTAACAATGCAAATATAAATATCAAATCTATTACTTGCAGTTTTTTTTTTGCAACTTTGTGTGTTAAGATATATCTGTGATGCTAAATACATTTAGTTCACGTATTCATATATATTATCTATTTCAATCCATTCTGCATCTAATTATAGTTTCATAGGAGAATAGACGGCTAACGACAGTTTCTATGTATATTCAATTCCACGCGAGTCTACTACGTCATTAATGTTTCGTTTCTAATGCACGGAGTTTATGTAGAGTTTAGAGGAAACGAGAAACAAATAGTTGTTTATGTAGTACAGACACGAGACGTGTTGAAAACTGTTACACTTTAAAATTAGTTTATGATGCACAGTTGCTTTGCGCAATATAAAGTTCCTCCTGAATTTATTGAAGATTATTAATTATTTATTAATCCCAAAAAATCATACGAAAAGTTATTTGTAAATCTTTGTCCTTCAATTAATACGCGGGAATTAATTTTACGAAAAATTGTGCCAAAAATTAGCTTCAAATTCTTATTTATTTTCCTAAAATTACAATTATTTAACTTTAATGACTGATACCTGCTAAAAATTCGAAGATTCAATAATTCAACCAATTAATTCGAAATTATAATTTTTCTTAATCTCATTGATGTCACGAGGGGTATTAAGATCTTTCAGACTCGAAGGAAAATCGCGGGGGAAAGAATCTGCCTCCGAGAGACTCGACTGCAGAAGGATTGCTTTGACGTCGCGACGCGGCATCTCGCGCTATGCGCTTTTTAACCGCGTGTTGTCGTCGCGGCGGGTGGCGGCCTAATTATATGTGTTTCTCCGTATTTCTGGAAGCGGTCCGCGGATGGGGCGCGATGCGATCCGCTCCGCGGTACAGCGGGGACTTGTTTCTCAACTTCAGTCGTGCGTGGTCCACCTCGAATCGCGCGCATATTTCGCAGTTGTTCCACAAGTGTACAAGGTGACTCTCAGTCCGACGCCCTGAGTACCGGTATCGTCGAAGATCACTCTCGCCCGCGTAGTCTCGCAGCATCCATTCGCCCATGAGGCGGGCGCGCGGATATCGAAAGAGCGAGATGGCTCGAATCGATCTTCGGCTCGATTAAATAATCTCACTGCAAGTTTTCCTGTTTTTGTTTAAAGATCATTTGGTTTCCCATTGATATCAATTGTCATAATTTTTATCGAAAATTTTGGAAAATATTGTAATATAATTTTTTTACGTAAATATGAGACATTTGTTTCTAATATTGTCGATTAGTATTTGAAAATTAATTACAAGAAAATTAAAATTTTATGCCAACATTTCGAATTAAATAGTTCGAATATGTGATTTGAGGAATTTAATTTTAAATCGTAATTTTTGTGTATCATTTCTTGATAATTAATAACTAAGAGGCTATGAACATGTATGTAAACTTGCAGAATCTTTTCTGACGTAACGAAGAGACATTGTCGAAAGGGTTTTTTAAAAAGTGCCTACGGTGTGAAGAATTTAAATAGAGTGTAAACGTTATAAATTTAATTGTACGAAGGGAAATATAACGACGAAAAGCATGGCGACTACAGAGATCTTTCAGGACTGGGATTCTCCCTACGAGAATCTCAGCGCATTGAGGACCTCTACCAGAAAAACCACAACAAAAACTACCAGGATAGAGGTAGGATTCAAAAGGATTAATTAAATTTCGTATATTTAATGAATTTGATGCCCTACACATTCGTTTGACTTTTAAATATTTGGATTCTTTATTCTTTAAAATATCTTCTTTATTCTTCCAGATTTTTAAATTTATTTTTTAATTAATTTATTTATTTATTTGTAATTTTTAAATTTATTTATTAATCTATGTTTTTGGAAATTTTACGTTTGTCAATTCACGATCTTCAAATCTTTAAGTTTCTTAGAATCCTCAGAGATTCTAAATTTTCAAATCTTAAATCAAACTAATTTAAAATGCAATTTAAATCTTTAAATTCAGATTCAAATTCAGAGTCAAAATTTAGGTTCTTGGATATCATTACTAATTGCGTCGCAATTGAATACAAAAACGATCTGGAATTAAATCTAGCTATCCTGCCAGAATCCGTCGCGCATTTTTGCTCCTTCATACATCATACTGATTGTGTATCTCCACGCCTGTCAAGCAGATCATAAACATGGAAGGGTTAGATATAGAATGTTGCGACGCGAAGAACTCGTGGATTCGCGTCAGAGGATTAGACCGGGAAGGAAAAGCCAAGAAAGTGTCCTTTTTCTTGGCGCGCGTAGGTCGAGTACAAAGCAGCTACCGCCGCATGCGATTACTCATCGGGAGTGGTTTACGATTTTCCGGCTGTTTATCTGTGAATCAGGTCCGCAAAGCAATGGCGGCCTTGCGTCCTGGCAACCGTTCTGTAAACGCGCAGAAAACGCTGCACTTTAAGATACAGGCCGTGTTTTCAAAAAAAGTCACGAATTTTGTCTGTAAAATAAATTTATTTTAACATGTTAATGGATTCAACGACACTAAATCATTAGATCTTAATCCCTTCAAACTTGATTTTAATGGAACCATTAAAATAAAAAAACTAGTTTAAAAAAATTAAAAAAATTTTTTTTTCAATTCAATACGAAAGCACTTTAATAAGTAATTCATATTAAACAATTAATTTTTTCGAAATTTGTGTTATTTTTTTTTTAGTGTTTCATCAAGGTCAAGAAATTCAAGAAATCTTGTCTTGGTTTTGTCTTGAATCAAGACAAGACCAAAACAAGAAATTGGAAATTGATTTCAAGACAAGACAAGAAATTGTTATCAAGACCAAGTTTTCTTGACAATAAATCAAGAAATTTCTTGAAATTACTTGAATTTCTGTGACAGTTTCTATTTTTATTATTTTAATATATTTTATTATTTTATTTCTGATTTGAAAGATTTTGAATATGTTAGGTTTCAACATTTTTGTATTTATTGGTATTTATAACAGGTCATATAATATAATATAGAAATGTATATTCATACATTTTCACTAAATAAGTAAAATAGCATATGAGAATGTAAATCGATTAATGAAAAAGTGAAGTTCCTGATTTAACCAAATTAAATTATACTCATCGATATGTCCTTGTTGTACCAGATATTAACCTTTACATTTATGTAAAGGAATATATATAAAATCAATACTGCGAAATTACTTGCAAAAGTATATTATATTATGTATAAACATTTATGTATTTCTACTAATATTATTAATTAAATCATGAATGATTAAAATATATAGTAAGTTATAATAATTATATCTAATAATCTCAGAAATAATCTGAAATAGTTACATTTGGCAGTAACCTCATAATATTAAAAATGATAATTTGAGAAATATTTTTAATTTTTATTAATAGATTTGTCGATGACAGTATAGGCACACTTTTAAACCATGAATTTAAACATAGTAAACTACGAAACGACTCGACATTCAATTTATACCTATGTTTTCTTATTATCTCTTACGATGCAACGTAGTCAACGAACCACAAGGAACCTGCTTAAAAATTCAAGAAATTCCAGATTCTTGAATTCAAGATAAGAAATACAATGTCAAGAAATGGTCAAGACAAGTAAAACGAAATTTCTTATCTTGAAAATCAAGATAAGACAAGAAATGGTCTTTAAGACAAAAAATCTTGTCTGGATGAAACACTAATTTTTTTTAATGTACACACTATTATATACATCTAATCTTCGATGATATCGATAGAATTAAATAATTTCAATGGAAAATGTTTCCAAATTTGATGTACATTATTATATATACAGAGTCTGAAAGGATTAAATTCTTACTTGCTTATTTAATTATTATAATTTATTATATTAGAATCGAAAAAAAATTAGGAGCACTTAATTCTTAATTCCTTCTAGTTTAACAAATTTTAAAAGTTTTTATTGCATTAATCTATTATCCGACATTAATAAGATGAATGACATCAATAAAATGTTCTTCGAAGTGAAATCTTACTCTAAAGAATGAAAATTGAGTCAATCTTGGAAAAGAGTGGGTTCAATTTTCAATCATTAAGAGTGAGATTTCATTTCTCAGAATGACAGCTCAATCTAAAAATTTCAAAGAGTAACATATACAATACAATGGATACAAAATAAAGAATAAAAGCCACTCTTTTTCAAGACTGGCTCAATTTTCAATCATTAAGAGTGAGATGTCACTTTTTCGAGCGACAACTAATTCTAAAAGTTTCAGAGAGTAATATATACAATATAATGAGCGTAAGATAAATAAGTAGTCGAATTTCTGACCTTGTTAGCGCCACTTTTGCACTGACAACGACGTGCGACACATATTACAGCAGCCGCGCCTGGTATGTTGGCATTGAAATCTCGGAACCGATAGATGCATCCGGTCGGGACACCGTAAAAATACGCCCGATATAAATAGGGGCTAATGTGACGCTAAACAAAAGTAGCATGTGTAAGATACGGGAGGGCTGCGTCGCACGTTCAAACGGGTATTTTTCATTACCTCTATAAAAATAATACACTGCCTTTTTTTGTGTCGCGGCTGCAGCAGTTGGCCACGTGCCAGATGGCGGAATAAAGATCGCAATAAAAAAAGATTATTACGCAATTCGCGATGATTTGATATCCGCAGTTGCGCGCGTCTGTTCCCGAATTTATGTCATTGATCGAACCGCGTTTTTCTCACGTTTCTCTGTGTTCCAAGTCGAACGGAACGCATCGGCCGTTCGTTCGCAAGTTCAATCGATAATTGAAAATGTCGCGTTCAGCTGACGTTTTCCCGAGTCGTCCAACTTTGTCGAAATATTACGTGCGAAATGCGAAGTTCAAGTCGAATAAAGTGCGCTACTTTGGCGTCAAAAGTAATTTAGTTCTAAATTCGCGAAACTTTGGACTCTCACGACCTCGAGTGGGTTCTATAAATTTCCTCGATGTAATAATATTCGCGAATTCTTCGAACCGTCGATTCATTCGGCTCTCTTCAGGAGCAACAATGTGTTTGCGTTTTGGCGTATCGACACCTGGCTCCGTTTCTTTGGCGATGATCAAACGGACCGCGCGGCCACACGCGAAGTCGCGTTTAATCGCGTTTTCCGCGCATTTTCCGCGATATTTCGGAAACATGGCATGTTCTCGAAATATCAGACAGCTCGAGACTCGAGACTCTCGTTCTTGAGATTCCGCCGGGATGCGCGCTTAGGATACGTTCTACTTGGCGTTCGCAATGAGAATCGGAGTATCATCTTGTCTTTTGTTATTTATCAAATGTTAAACTAGGATGAAATAACATTTGCGAGCATTGCGAACATCAAGCGAAACGTACTCTTAAGCCTGATCTACAATGTGCTCTTTATTTTCTGTTTCTTTTTGCTTCTTGCTTTTTCCCTCTTTGCAACCGTTTCATCAACGGTCACATTTCTTTTTTCTGTGTTTCTTGTCTCTTTCTAAGTTCGTCAACTTTTATCTCGAGCGACGGAAACGAAGAAACAGTTTAAAAAGTAAAAAAAAAACAAGAAATTAAAAAATTAATAGCAAGAAACAGGAAACAAAGAGCACATTCGGCTTTCCTTAGAAGTAACAAGAAATCAAGCTTCAGGCTGATAAGGTGAATGTACCAGTTAATGAACCCAATTATTGGACAAAATAATAAAGATTTTAAAATTAAGCTTTTAATGGTATGACTCTAAATAAATTCATGTTGTTATAAATTTTTATAAACAGCGAATTTATTTAGAGTTATACATGCACGGAGAGAATTTTTTCTTACAGTTTACTCTGAAAATATGATTCAACTTCACATTGTATTTTGAAAAATTTTACGTAAATTTCTGTCATTCATTAAAACTACAATAAATTATAAAATAAATATGATTAATTTTACTGAAGTGTATGGTAAAAATTTTTAAAATATTGTACTACGACTGCTATATTTTCAGAGTAAATTTTAAGAAATAATTCTCTCCGTTTTTCTCTGTATTATTAAAAGTTTAATATTTCAAATTTTGTATTCCTAATTTTGTTATCCACCAACTGGTACATTTACTTTATAACATTTACTGTACGACAATTTTTTCAAGCCTGTTAATTGACTACAGAATAAGAAAATCCGAAAATCTCTCTGTTTTACAATTAAATGACATGCTTGAAAAATGTGTCGACAAATGATAGCCTTAGATATATCGCATACTTATTTCATTGGCCTTACTTTGGAGATTCATCGGTTGTATTTTCGAGACGGCGAATTTGTTGGCCGCGAAGATGCGAGATGCAAAACGAAGGATTTTTCAGAGAAGTTTTCGTGAAAATGCCAGCGGACGGCGCGATCGCGACGAGAACTTTTGATCACCCGTTAAATCATTGTCAAAATGCGGCGACTTATAAATCATCCGCGGGAGATTTACAACGAACGATACAAATTGCGATCTCGCGCTTCGTGTTGGCCCGACACACAATGGCCTCAAGCCTACAATGTGCAATTAAGTGCGTACGCTTGAATACAATGCTAATGATAATTGACGGAACTGTCGGGTAATTTGTGACGGCTGTCTTTCGCAACAATGCTATGATGAAAGTGACTGGAAAAGCGCGTGAGAGCGTCCAGATAAAGTAGGCAGCGTCTAGAATGTCTAGATATAAGG